GTCTACCGCCCCCTCTCGAAGGCAAACGAGCAATCCCCTGCCAATAGTACAAGACAGCAAAACTTTCCATTACACAAGCCAACGTCCTGTAACAGCGCGCCGAGCGCTTCTGCACTGGCCCTTTATACGGCCGGCGTCTGCGTGGTCAAACATTGGGACTGACAAAGCAGGTACACTACGAAGTTTTCTTGAGTTGCGTTATGATTTGGTAGTGCTTTGGGAGACTATCGGAAACCACGTAGATCGACGTCCGATCTAGTTCTCGAATAGAACTCAAGCGTGCCTCCTCCAACTCCAAAAACTCATTCTATGGCGGCGAGCGCTGGGCCCCCGGTCGTACAAGCTAAACAGAAACAGCAGAGTGTCTGATAGCATTTGTGAATTTCTCAAGAAGGGTAAACTAGATATGTACATATGGAAGTCGTAGTCTGGCGCTGCTGAGAGTGATGAATGAAGGAGCTCGACATTACTCGTGAGTAGGCGACGAAGGCTGATGACGGACTTTCCTCTTCTACCGTTGCAGAACACAAGCGCAATAACCAGAAACCCCTAGTGGACCAAATTATATCACCAGTGGAGAGCGTAGCAAACAGCGACTGAAGGAATGACGGCAACTCTTCTGCCTTTCCAATGAAGCTCGACCCCAGCGCCTATACATACGCTGCGGATTTGCAAAGAGGGCAAACGAGGCAACCGCCAAGCCTCTCGTGGCATCAGACTCAAAGCCGAGGAAGCCGCCTGCACGTACCTGGCGGCCGGGATGAGCGCCAGCACTGCGCGGAAATGAGACACAAGATACCGCTCGTCATAGGGCCGTAGGCAAGCAGCCAACTTGAGTCAGCGTCCTCTTTTGCACATGGATGATTGTTGTTTGTATTCACGTTCAATACGCATCCGATCAAGGCGAGTTCGGTCCGTCGCAGCACGCACGTTGAGGCGAGACCTATGTGACTCGACCGTCCCTGGGCCTGCAATGCTTGGTCTTGGAGCTCGGCCCACGGGTACACTGATGGCACTTAGACCACTCACCACTGGTCTGCCGTTGTCACCTAGCAAGCGACCAATCGAGGGTCTAGTAATGGGAAAGCCCTTGAACGTCGGCAACACCTTCCGCGGGAGCGTTCGGTCCGGAAACTCACCAGACTTCCTGCACCTATGATGCAGCGCCTGTATTTCACCGCCTGCTTCTGCGTCACTATCATCGAGCCTTGCGTGTGATCGGCAGTGCAATCTTGGTCTCCCCGGCTCGGCATGCTTCCTGTTCGAGCCTGCTGCTTGACCCCCTCGCAACAACCCTGGCCCTTGACATCTGATGCCGCTGGACGTGTCACAGGCACAGGCTCGTGCACGGGGAGATGAAGAGGCCTCCCACTGTGAAGCGCAGCGGATGCCTCGTTTGCCTCTTTTGGAACACAGGGGGTAATCAGCAAGGCTGGAGCGTCGGCGAGCATTCCCCGGGTGTATGCCCTTGGCCAGTGCCCTTCCACTGCGATGCCGTCTGCTGCTGGACCCCGTTGCCATTGGTGCACAGCAGGAGGCGAGGGCGGTTGTCTATGGCCTCGTCCACACCTCGCCCTCGCCTCATGCTCGCCTCGTCCCCTAATCCAGACTATCACGAGTATTGCGCGCAATCCATACAACACAGGGTCGTTTTTGGTCGTTTTTTGTCACGGTTTGGGGTCTCTACTACTCTTGCTCTTCACCTCCTCGTGACTACTCACCTTAGCGAGCTACGCCTATCTAGGCTAGCCTTGTTGACGGTCACTCACCTACCTAAACTTTCCATAGCATCTGCAATACAACAGTTCAATCCTTCAATTCTTCCTGCACGCTATCCCCAACAATTTTGGTCTCCGCCACAAGTCTGCCATCACTGCTGGTTTTGCTCAGTAACTAGTAAAATGTAACGGTTTGGACCTTGCCAAGATACACTCCGGTACAAGTTGGGTACAGCTATCGCTACCACACTTTATCATCCTACACACGTATATAGCTGCTCTCCTTCGTAGCTATACAATGACAGCGCAGTCCTCCCCTCCACACACCGTTACATAAAAGCGTCGCGGACTTGCAGATGCGTCTTTCGGAGGTTCATCTTGCAGGGTGTAGAAGAGATCTCAGGCATGTTGCGGTGGAGTGAACAGTGCGCATGTGCGGAGAATTAAGGATTGAACTGAGGTTGTATTGTCTGAGTCTACAAACTGTATATGTAGGTGGGTGACCGTCAACAGCGCTAGTCCCAGATAGGCATCGGTCCATTACAAAGGTAAGTTGCGACTACAGGAGCAGAGCAGGAGAGACCCCAAACCGTGACAAGGCATCAAATACATGACCAATGTGGACCTCCCACAATTCGAAGTTATCGCACATTAAGGAAATGGCTGACAATTTTGCGTAATCAACCGACTCTCAACGGCAAGCGCAAACAAGAAGACTCAGACTATCACGGGGCCAAACAGTAGTTGCAAGGTAAGAACGTAGTTGTAGTGTAAAGGTCTATGTACAAGAGCGCGGGGAGGATATGTACCGCAGGGTAGCAGGCGCTAGGCCAAGATAGGGATGGGGGCACGTGACCTACAGAGCGCCGAGTTGGTGCTGTGACACAGACGGCAGTCTGTGGTCGACTGCACGAAAAATTCGCGATCGTGTACAGCTGCGCAATGGGTTATGGGAGTCCCACCGTCTGTAGAGCGCTCAGTATTGGATGCACCCTGCAAAAGCTCGATGTGATTGGTGCGTCGCCGTTCTAGTGATGGCGGATGGTGTGGAGTGCTAGGGGCGCGGGTGGAGCCGCAATCGCCAACGACTGTACGTATGAGAGCACTGAGCGCAGTCAGCAAGACGCTCAACCTAAGTCGATGACAACTCGTGCTTGACTCCCAGATCCCTGGTCTGATTCTAAGAGGTGACCGTTGATTAGTAAGCAGGTACTGCTCGTTCTAGTGAGATATACCGAGGCTGCTGAGAATGCTGAGGATTATGCTTATGGCCCGTACAATAGCCGAAGCTCAGCAGAACAAAGTTAAAAAACTGGGCGCTGCACAAGCTTTCCCAGATGTGCAAGCTTATTTGCATCGCTATCATCCCCGACTCTCACCCAGTAGGGCGCCATAATTGTCGAGCCTGCATTTCCACTGGGCATGCGAGCGAGCCGTGAGCCGAGTCCCAGTCTGTCAGCCAAGACAGGAAGCAGTACAGATGGACCAGAAGAAACGTGTTCCCCTCTGTCATAGAGTGAACAAGTCTAGACTCGCTGTATTTTATGAAAAATGTTCTATGGGCACCGTAGAAGATGTAACTCGGCTGTTTCCCAAGATAAGAGAATGGATCCATGATCGTGACGAGGATGGTCACACGGCACTTCATCATGCTGCAAAAAATGAACAGAAGAATGAAGGGGAGAAGATAGTGACGCTGTTGTTAGAGAAGGGTGCATACGTCAATGTTGCAGATCGTTGGCAGCGTACCGTCTTTCACTATGCAACTTTAGCAGGTAATGTGCATGTACTGAGAGCAATAATATTGCATAGGAAGTATTTGCATGTCGATGCTGTAGATATAGAGGGCAACACTGCACTTCATTATGCTTCTGGTATCGGCAATGAGGACATTGTAGATATACTAGTCAATATTGGGGCAGACATCAACGCTGATGATGAGTCCGGCTGTACTGCGTTGCACGAAGCATCGAAAAATTGTCACAAGGAGGTAGTAAAGATGCTGCTCAACAAAGGAGCACTATTCGATAATGGAGATAAATCCGGGCGTACCGCACTAAACTTAGCGTCGGCGAGGGGCTACATCGAGATAGTAAACATGCTGCTCAACAAAGGAGCACACGTTGATGCTAGAGACAGGTCCAGGCGTACTGCACTACATGCAGCGTCGGAAAATGGCCACGAGGAGGTTGTGAAGGCGTTGTTGGAGAGGGGAGCAGATACCAACGCTAAAGACAAGTTTAGGTGTACCGCACTATACTTTGCTTCACGGGAAGGCCATGAGGGAGTGGTAAAGATACTGCTTGCTCAAGGAGCACAGGTCAATGCTAGAGGTAAACTCGGGTCTACTGCGCTCTACGAAGCGTCGCAAAATGGCCATAAGGGGGTAGTAGAGATGCTGCTTAACAAAGAAGCAGACGTCGAGGCTATAGAGCAATTCAGACGTACTGCACTATACGTAGCGTCGGAGAAGGGCTACATCGAGGTAGTAGATATGCTGCTCGACAGAAAAGCACACGTCGATGCTAGAGATGACATCGGGTGTACGGCACTACACGTAGCGTCGGCAAACGGCCACAAGAAGGTAGTGAAACGGCTGCTCGACGGAGGAGCAGACATAAATGCTCGGGACGAAAACAACGACACCGCACTTCACTTTTCGTCACGGAAAGGCCGCGGCGGAGTGGTGGAGATACTGCTCGATGAAGGAGCACACGTCGATACTAGAGGTAAATTCCGGCGTACTGCACTCCACGTAGCGTCGGCACATGGCCGCAAAGGGGTAGTGGAACAACTACTCAAAAAAAGAGCAGACATTCATGCTACGGACGAAAAACAGCGTACCGCACTTTACTTTTCATCACTAAAAGGCCATGAGGATGTGGTAAGGATACTGCTCGACAAAGGAGCACACGTCGATGCTAGAGACAGATTCGGGTTTACGGCACTACACGCAGTGTCAGCAAATGGACACGATAGGGTGGTAACGATACTTCTGGATAGGGGAGCTAAAATCGAGACAAAGAATTCTTACGGCCATACAGCCCTTCAGCTTGCTATGCTATATGGTCTTGACCATATAGTAAATGAGCTGAGCCGCAGAGAAGCAAAGTCCATAGGCAAGTAATCAAGGAGCTGCTCGACAATAGAGTAGACCTCCATACTAAAGACCATGACGGTAACACTTACTCTCCCTCACATGCTAATGTCCC